TCTTTGCCAGAGATCTTCAGTGAGAAAATGACTTTCCTTAATGGCCAGCAGAGCAGACAGGCAGGGCTGAGAAGACACTGGCTTAGCAAGGGAGATGCTGGCAGTGGAAGGAAACAGGTTGCACATGGAGTCCCTCCTTGCCCCAAACGGGGTACCAGATGAGCAGATTTCAGCTAGTGGGGGCAGCTATGGCTAAGGGGAGGTTTTTTCAAACTTGTGACCATTCTTGTTGATCACGACTTGTGCTGTAGACCAGTTGCTAAATATTTTGGATATACCTGACAGAATACACAGGATAGTACAATATTATAATTGAGTAAGAGATCTGCACCAATGAATTTGGAAGAGACATTCATAAAGGGTACCATCTAGGAAGACAACCAATATAAAAGAGTCTAAACAAGGTTGCAGGCAGTGACTCTCCCTTGTGTCTTACGTTTCATCCAGTATAGGGATCAGGGTTGCTGAGTCGGATCAACCACCACCATATAGGCTTATCTTGCTGTTGCTTCATCCTTTACTTTTTTTACATGTTCTTTCATTCTTCTCCCCTCTCTCCCTCCCTTCTTCATACTAGGGATTGGACCTTGCGGTCTTGCAATGACATATATCCCAAGCCCCCTTTTCAATTTTTTATTTTGAAAGAGGGTCTCATTCAGTTGTCCGCCCTGGGCTCCCACTTGCAGTCCTCCTGTGGCAGCCTCCTGCAGTGCGCTGATAGCAGAGGTGCACATGGAGTTCTGTACGCTAACAACATGCTCCCTGACGATATTTAACAAATATTCAAATATCAGTGGGATTACGACTTAAAATTATGAGAACTTTTGAGTTGTAAGTTTTTCTTATGGCTTGTGTCTAGCTGTCCCCACAAAGCCTCATGTAGTCATAGGTAGTAAGGCTTCCCAGAGGTGGCTGGATGTAGAGTGTGTGATGATGGGATTAAGTGTGCGATCCTGGTTTAAGGATGTGTGACTACAGAATTAGTCCGCTGCTTGGTTTGGCGGCTCTTGGTGTGGAAAACGGGAAGGTCCGACCTGTGTGTGAGTGCTATGTGCCCTGAGGGCATACAGCCTGTATAAAATATAAGGGACAGATGAAGGGTGCTGGCCTCACTCGCCGCTTTGCTGCTTTGCCGCTTGCTACATCCCTGGCGTCTCCCTGCTACGTGCCATGAACTGTCTCTCCTCTGCGCTGCCCCTCTGCTATGCCAGCCTGCCTTGGAGTCACCCAGCTATGAACGGCAACTTCTCAAGAGACCTTTCCTCTTTTCATTTTGGGTGGCTACTATTTGTCTCAGCAATGAGAAAAGTAAGATGGTTAGACTTCTTAGACTCCAAAATACATTGAGTCAAGGAAACAAATTCTAAAGAGAAGAAAAATTCACTGTCAGGTGTGTCTAACCTTAGTCCACTGTTTTTTGGTTGTGTGTTTGTTTTGCTTTTTGCCCTTGTGTTATGAGTGAACGGGAATTGTTTTGGGCTACATAAAATATAAAATATAGTGATTGTGTGTAAGTAATGGCACTTCCTCTGTAGAATGTTTTGTTAAAAATTTAAACAATGATGGCAAAGGAACCAACAGGCCACAGGTTTATATACCTGCATAGATGAAGATAAGACAATGTAAAGTCTAAAAATTTCAAAATACATCCACGACTAAGAGCTCTACCTTAGAGTATTGGTTTGGTAGTTAGAAGGTCTAGGTATGGCCTTTGGGTCATTCACTGTCTTGCTGTATAGCTCAGAGTAAGTCAGTAAGCTATCTTTTTACACAATGAAAGTGATGGATAAGATCAAAGGCTGTCAAATATTCCACAAAAGGCCTCAAAATGTAAACAAGAATCCACTGGCAGTGTTCCGGATCCTCTGCTCTGTTATGCTGTGAACCAGAGCACTGTCCTTTGCTGTGATTAGTATGTAGCTGATCTGCCTTCTGTGTTATTGGAAAGGCTTTACTACTATAACTGAGCTTCCTCTGAGTCATTCAGGTTCCAAAAATACTTATATTTCTCAAACTGGAGTAGCCAGAACTAAAATCTGGTTAATCCATCAATGAAAGATTCACTTTATCCTCAAGATACAATTCCATAGCCTCCCATAACAATCTTTTCTAAATTGAATGAATGCTAACCTGTGTGTTTCCAAAAATTTGCCAGAAGGGTTCGTATTAACTTGTGTTTCTCTGGCAGAATTAAAAAAAAAAAGAAAATCTCGATTGCTCTTTTTTTAAAGTTTCAACCAATTAACAGCTAGGATTTCATGCAAGCAGAATCCAATTACTATGTTTAATACATTCATCAACTATAAATTTAATTAGAACATTCAGCAAATTGCCATCGCTGTGCCCAAAGCTGGCCGAGTGCCTTAAATACAACAAGGGAAGTCCGATTTGTAACATAGTCATGTTTTGTATCTTTAGGGACCTAAAACTGCAAGAAAAAAAAAAAAGTTAACAACATGTTTGTTCACTCTCAAGTAATTTGAGAATGTTGATCTTCTCCTGAGAGATTCAGGCCACCAACTGGCTTTTCCAGTGTCTGGAACAACTGTTCATTTTTCACATACATATTTATTTCTCTAGAGACCTGTATTTCCATAGCTCAGATATTCTCCCTTATTTTCTCATCATGGGCTCATTTCTTTATTAACTAACCTTGATGATGTTGGCTGCTCTTGGATATGAGAGTGACATTAGCTGCTATTTAAAGGTTCTGTCTCGTAGATATCTGATACAAGTCTCATTCTTTCATCCCTCGCTTATGACAGTCGTCATTAATCAATCACTAGACTTCCCCACTGCATTTCAGGTTCAGGACCCAAGGTCACTCTTATCTTTCTTTTCCTCAGACTCACTTGAAAACCTAAGACAGATACTTAATTCCTCCCCTACCTGGGCTTTTCCATTCCTCTTTTATTTCTACACTAAATCTAGAAATGGTTAGACAATTGTGGATGGTTAAGGTAAACTTCACGAGGTTAGTCGGAAGCAAGCAGAAATTAGTATATTTTTACAGCTCTAAACTAGCAGTATGCACTGCAATTAAACCTTTCTTTTTTCTTTTCCGAGCCCAATGCTCCTCCTACCACATTCTACAAACTTTCATTCTCCAAGAAAGCCCTTCTGCCTCCTGAAAGCTTAAATGCGGGCAATTACTTTATTGAGAGCAAGCCAACTGGGCAGAAATTACTTTTATTGTGTGCACCCAGCTCTCTCTCCACCTCGCCTCAGGCTAGGTGTTAATTACAGCCTTCAGAAGCAGCTACCAGGGTCTTAGGGCTCTGGGATTGCCTGAGTGGCTCATTGGAGCCCTGTGCTTCTTTCCAATTCCCACACCAACAGAGGGAGGGGAGGAATTCAATTCTGAGGTACGGCAAACGGTGCAGGGAGATGGTTTACCAAAAAAATGAGTGCAGGCTTCTCAGGCTGGTAAATCTGAGTTCCAACATGACCTCTGGTGCGTACTACTCCTGGGACACCAGCGAGTTCAAGTTCTTGTACAAATGGTATTAGTGACTACGTATTCCCACAGCATTGGTTCTCAAGTGAAATAATGATAACGAATTTAGGGTTTTCAATGAGTTATGCAGTACAAAATAATCATACGTTACATCTTACCAAATTATGTCAGCTTGCAACTTCAAATAAGGAGATTACAAGTTTTTGTTTGTTTGTTTGTTTGTTTGTTTGTTTGTTTGTTTGTTTGTTTGTTTGTTTGTTTGTTTGTTTTACTAAGCTGGTGCACCAAAGCATCAGTCATACCTGGGCACACCCCGGGAGTCCCCCTGGCTTTCAAATATTCTTATTTGATACAACAGAGGCACTCTACTTCGTAACCACCTCACATTCTACCTATTTGATCAATCCTCGGATACTTTTTCCTAAATTTGTACTTCTTCTGAAATTACAATGTGTCTTAAAATTGCTGTATACATTTACCATGATACCGCCTTGAAAAATTGCACTGCACTCCATAGAGCATTTAACAGTCATGTTTCAATTACGTAAGTAAAACAGTACTATTAAAAATTCATCATCTAAGAAGCGAGGAGAGGCATGGACGGCAGAAGTGTAAAGGACTTTGCTGTTTGCCTGGATTGTCAACGTACTTTCCCTTCGAACTTTTTACTTAAATCTTGGGTTTTGTGCCTTGATTTTTCATTGGCATCCTTACCATCTAAATACTCTTTTTTGTTTTGGTACTGGGGATTGATCTCGAGACCTTGTGCTAGCAAGGCAGGCGGTGGCACCACTGAGCTAAATCCTGAGCCCTACAACTACTGTTTTCTTCACTTCCTGTCTTCCAAGGCCTGGAAAAATTTTTCGTTTTACTGTACACATTCCCCAAGAGAAACAAAATGGACATGCGAATTTCAAGGCTCTGAATTGGAAACTGAGACTCAGGTGAGACAGCACGGCCCTTGTTCATAGTAATTTTCTTTCTTAGGTAAGTTTTAATTAATTCACATACACAATTTTATGGATGGGATATCTGTTGTATTTTAAAACATGGATACGCCATAGAATGTTCAAATCAGGGTAAAAATATTATTTCTTCAAACATTTATCACTTTTTAAAGCAGGAGATAGTTATTAATACGTGTATCACATGGGCACATGGGAATACTTGGCGAAGAATAACTCTAAGGAGTGGTTAAAATTTGGGTTTATACAGCATCTTTTGAACCAAAACAACAACAACAAAAAAGACAGTAAACTGCTGGAGATGAGACAAGCCAAAGGAAGAGGACTTTTGAGTTTACAGAGCAGTCAGTTTGGGAAGGTAAATAAAAGGCCGATTATGAGCTTGTTATAGGGATTACTTTCCCAGGGCGCATCGACTGCTAAGGGTCTAGCGTTGTGCGGTGTGATGAGCTTCTCCACAGGAACTTCCATGCGGTCCAAGCTGAGGTGGGACCCCACAGATGTGATTCTTCATCATGGCACAGAGCCTCGATTATAGAAATAGCTTCACTAATCAAGAAATGTCGTTGTCCCCATAGGAGTAACCTCAAGCACAGCACAGCGGGGAGAGCAGAGAGAAGCTGCCACAGAGGCCCTAGGGACATGAAAATGCTTATGAGGTAAGTGAAAGATGGTGATTTACCTCCTCCCACCATGGTTTCTCCTCCAGAGACCACCGGACTGTGTGAGCAGCTAAAACGTACCTGTACAACCTCTAATGAAGGTGTTGCCAGGTACTCAGACTCTGAGTCTTGAGTGGGAAGGCTGAGTCTACTTCTAACAGTATAAATGCTTCCCTTTGAAACATTTTAATTCCCTGATCTCACTTTATTGTATAATCCACTGTCGTACTTGTACATACTCGATTTCAGTGTGCACTGCTTACTATGGGAAAAGCCTGGCAGAAAAGGTTCTGGAAGACGCACCTCTGTACTGGAAAACGCTACTTTCCACTTAGGAGGCAATGAGATGAGCTACCACTTACGAGGAGAAAACGCCGCCTAGAAATGAACCACCAGAAAAGAATGTCTACTAACACAGCATATTCTGCCGGCTCCAGGACAGAGGGATGGGGCGGAGGCCACCCGCTCATAGAAAGGCATCCAGGAGTGAGAGTGAGCCTCCAGGCAGGAGTGGGGAAGAGATGGCCCCGCTAGGCCACACCCTCGGTGAGCCACCTCTTCTTACCGGGTCCCACCTCCTAACACGGGGGGGGGGTGAGGCTCGGAGGGGACCTCTAGCAATGAACCATAGCAGTGAAAAATCAAGGGTTCCTGCAATAGAGAGGAATTCGGGCAGTCAGGAGTAGAGGCTGTCTCCTCCCCGGCATGGAAACCAGTTTAAAGGGTATGATCTGTGGAGCTCTAAGAGGGCTGGACACATGGAGCACTGGATAAGGTAAGTACTTCCCAGCCTCTGGACATTTGCAGGGAAATAATTCATCCTTTCAGTGAAGAGCAGATCACACAGGGCGATGGGTCTGAGGAGGCAGATGTGTTAGTGAGAAGAATGGAAAGGCAAGGCTAAAAAGAGTGGCTTCCAAATGTTTCCACCTTGTATAATCAAACTCTTTCCCTCCCTGAGATCCCAAAATGTCTTCCTACTGCATCAACTCCAGAATCCAGAGGATATGACTTCTATGACAGTTATTAAGAATGTGGTAAGAAGGTGTTAGGGAATTGATCATGTTAAAGTGTGCTGTGACGCCGCCTCACAGGCTGCATTCTCCTGGTACATCCTGGCTCCTAAAATGACCTCATGCCCTTATCTCTGGTTTCCCTTCCCCCCAAGGCCGCGGTGGTCCAGGAAAGTCGAAACCTGTGTCTGCAGGACTGGGCCCATAAAAGCAATCTGGCCTGTGATAGGTTAAAAGTAACTCACTCCTCATAAATAAGCAATAGCCCACCCCAAAACTGATAAAAGGACCTTCCTTTCTTTGTTCTTCTCTCTCTCCTTCTGCTTCTTCTTCCTCCTCTCTCTCTCTCTCTCTGCCTTCCTGCCTCCTGCTCGCCTCCCTACAATAAAGATCTCCTGCCGGACCTCTCGGTGCGTGAGTGGCCCAATTGGGAAGGGGCACCTGAAAGGGCATGCGAACCCCCTTTCAGAAGGCCCCCCAGTCTGTCCATGGATCCTGAGCCTGAAAGACCTGTGCAGGTACCACTCTGACCTCCCATCTTGTCCCATTATGATCAGGATTCCCCTCTGCTCCTCTTCATTAGGGAAGGACTGCACCTTCTAGAAAATCAAGTGGAGCGGGAACAAGGACACAGATCTGCTGATTTGCATTCCAGGTACTTCACTGCACCGATTTCCCTAGCCCTGTTTCCCCATGTACCACCAGGATGGACATAAGGCTGCAACACAAAAAGAAAAAAAGCTGCTGAGGAGTGATAGATTAAAACATACATTTACCATCTTTGGCATTTCCACGAGATAAGAAAAGATTAGAAGAAATACTTGGAGTCTGACTGGCCAGGCGCTAGAGAACGCTGAAAACCTGAGGGAGGTCATTCCCATCATGAATGCTGGAGCTAAGATGGTGGTCTTGGATTGTGGTCCTTAGACTGTTGGTTGCTACGGTTCAGAGACCCTAACCACAGCACGGGCACAGTCTATCAAAAGGGACTGAGAAGATATTTGCAGAAAATCTTATAAAAACATCAGTAAGGCGATCAATCCACACTGTGTCAGATCTTGTTTACAGATCACTGCCTTCTCTCTCCTGGGTACAGGAGGAACCTCAAAATCTCTTCCCACACAGCCATACAGCAGCCATACCAAGATGTAAGAAATATCATATGAATCCGAACTCATTCGCTTGTCTGCACTCCATCTTCTGCGTCAGAAGGAAGAAGTGATTTTGAGCATAGCCTGCTGTTCTGTAAAATTTTCTTTCCAAGTGCAGCCCCTCTAAAAGGTACAGGCACTGGTATGCTTGGAGTAAGGAGTATCCAAAGGGAGAGTTTTAAAAAATGCCTCTTGGTTTTGGGCGTGTGTATGTGTGGTGCTAGGGATGGAATAGAAGACCTTTTGCATTGTAGGCAAGCATTCTGCCATGGAGCTAGATCTCAAATCGCAGCATAGTGTTTTGAAAGAACCTCATAATTTAACATGAAACTCAGGTTTTTCTATCTGTGGTTCTGTGTCACTTGTGTACTTCAATATTCCCGGTGATTTCCTCTAATAAAGATCTGACTGTGCCACACAATCAATCTAGGAAAAATGAATCTGACACTATTCAGTCTTCTGCCACTGTGAGAAGATGAAGTTACTAATTAGAAAGTCAAAGAAAGAAGAGTGTCACACAAACACACCATACGTGGGATGGGATCTTCTTCTTTACAGAGGAATAGCCTCTGTTAGACAGGCAGAGAGCATGATGTAAGGGCACAACCTCTTTCACCATATTTGCTGATGGCACGCACTGCGGGCATTAAAAATGAACTGTGGCACATACTTCTGTCAAAAATTAATGTGACCCGCAAACATTCTTGATAAAATAGTTCTAGCAGCCATAGTGGCCAGTTCCATTTGACATAAGCAAGAAGACCCACACACTGGAAAAATGATTACTATGATGGGTTAAAAATTAAAATATCTTGTGTTCTAGTCCCATGCTGGCCACTGACTTATTCTATACTAGGGACAAGGTTTTTTTTCCCCTCTCCAGGTACTAGCCATCTTAGTAGTAAATTGAAGACAAAAAAATCAGTAGTGTCTGTGTTAATACGATTGTGTTTTTCTTCTCCTGAAAGGGCTTTAACATCTCAGGAAAGCTTGCAAACCTAACTCACTGTCAAGGTCAGGGTGAAGTCTAAGAGAGGCAGTATTTCACTTTAGCTTTAACGTTACTTAAATCTATATCGCCAATGTGAAGCATACTAATCTTATATAAAATTGTCATCAGTTTATTCTATCCTGTTTTAACTCTATATCCCTCTGTCATTGTTAGGATTCCTCGGGGTAATCTTAGAAAACTTTTTAGAGATCCCGTGTCAAAACTGGAACTCTAGACTTTGCTCATTAGCTTTTTACTTTTTTTGAAACAATTTACACTCTAGGACGCTACCTGTTCCACAATGTTCCACAATCTCCACCCTTAAAAGGGCGCTTTTGTAACAGGACACCAATAAGCTGCCAGGTTCTTCCTCCATAATGAGTCTAAACTCTAAGTCATAGAAACTAGAGCCAATACACTGAAGGCTCTTCAGCAGAAGGTTTCACAGATACAGCATCTGGGTATGTTGTGTAATGTCCAAGAAGTGAGGGGCAGAAGGGTTCAAGAGAGCAAAACACATGAATGCATGTACCACAGGCTTGAGAGGAAGTCTGGGCATGAGCAGTCAAGAGCATGAAAGAAAAGACATCCCAGAGGAAAGGAAGGAGTGGAAGTATCCGCGTTTGCAGATTAATTGATCTTCTATATAGAAAACCCTAAAGGACACTCAGAAAACCTGTCAGATCTAATAAACTAATTCAGCAAGTAGCAGAATACAAAATTGATATGAAAACTTGGCAGCATTCTTATATGCTTATAGTGAACTATATGCAAAACAAGTCAAGAAAACCCCCTCATTGAAAACAGCTACAAAAAAATTTAAGAATACATTTACCAAGAAGATTAAACATCTCTATAAAGAAAAGTATAAAATACCCATGAAAGAAATTGAAATACTTGAACTATTAACTTATAAAGAAAAAAGGGCTCATTTTGCCTCACAAGTATGAAAGTTCTAGTTCAGGACCAAGAAGTTCTGTTTCTTTCAGCCTCTAATAAAAATAGAATTCAAAATTCATATGGAACTAAAAAGCACACCAGAAAGACAAAACAATCTCCAGTAAAAAGAATAAAGCTGCAGGCATAAGAACACGTGAGTTCAAACTATGCCGTAAAACAATATTAACTAGAAGTGTGACACTGACATAAAAGACACGTGGATTAATGGATAGAGAGAAATCTACACATTACTGATATTAAAAAGTTACAGGAACATAAAATTGGAAAAGGACAGATTCTTAAAAAGTGATGTTGGGAAAACTGCATATTCATATGTGTGAGACTAAAGCAGGATTCTTAACTATATAAAAATCAAATGGAAATGGATCGATGACAAATTCTAAAGAGGAGAACTGAAACTATGACAATACTGTAACAAAACATGGACACAAGGCTCCATGACACAGGTCTAGGCAAGAATTTTGGGGATAAAACTCAGAAGCAGCCAACGAAAGCAAATATAGACAGAATTCTGTCATGACAAGACACTTGCATACCACAAAGGTAACAAAGAATAGAGTGAAGGTACAATCTAAAGAATAGGAGACTATACCTTCAAAATACAACTGGGAAGAGGGTTAATATTAAAACATGCAGACAGCTTTAAAAAAAACCAACATAATAAAAATAGACATATTAAAAGATGGGCAAAAGTCCCGAACAGGCACTTCTCAGAAGAAGACATACAAATGGCCATAGACTTGTAAAAACACTCATCACTCATCAGCAGGAAATGTAAATCAAAATGATGATTTTGATTAAGATATTTCCTTACTCCTGTAAGAACACCAGTTATCAAAAAGTTAAAAAAAATAACAAGAGCTGGTGATAACATGAAGAAAAGGGAATTCTTATACACTATTTATTGGCCATTATTGAAAACTATAGACAGGTTCCTCAAAAAGAAAACATAACATAGAAACAGAACTGTGATATGATCCAGTAATTCCACTGTGAT